TGCCATAAAAAGAAAGGATACAAAAAAAGGAAGGAGACAGAGGGGCCTTTTTCAGTTTAGTGTTAATATTTTAGATTTTGAAGTGTTATGTATTCCAATAACACCAAAAGAATTCAAACGATTTATTGCCTTGTGCAAAATAATCAAATTATTAGTGAAACTATGTCCCTGTCCTTGGTGCAGTTATTTACTCTAAATATATACTTGAAACTAGTAGCATAGAAAACATGCGCATTGTGGCAGTGTTAACATATTTAACGTTTTGTTTTAAAAAAAAATCCATCCATCTGTCCCACTATTAATCTGCTCGTCTGTCTTGACTTTGTAATTCTATCTATCCGTCATTAATAGAAAAAGATGCTCCATAAGCCCAAATATAACGTATGCAATGAGGATTCGAGATTCACTGTAAAATGTATTAGGCAAAAGAATGCAATTGTCAATTTACGCTCGGCTATCTTGCACTGAACCAACTTTGCAATTCCTTTCTGAATGCATATGCTATAAAAGGCGGCACACGAACGGAGAGAGGTTTTCAATAGGAAATGTTTTATTAGATTGCAGAGATACATTTTTTAATTCAGGCAAATGTGCAAAGGGTCCAAATTGAATCGCATACATTGCAATGGCTTGTATCATAATCCTACCTAAAGAAAACACAATACGAAAGAGTTTGCGTTAGAAAAGGTAAGATGTTAGCTTGAAATGTCTTACAAATTATCATTGCAATGAAAAGATAATCAAATCGTGGTTCAAGATACGAAATCATCTGTGCAAAATCTCACATTATAAAATATTTTAGGAAGAAATACAGACATTATGAAATCCAATGTCATACAAATATTGTGGATTGATTTTTCTTTTGAATGGACATTTCTTTTAAAGCAGTGATTAAATGTTACAAGAGTCAAACGTCTTCAAAGTGACTGACCTTCTGAAGTCAGCACAGGACAAGAGACTTTGAAATGTTACATAAAGGATTGAAATTCTAAGGACACTTTAAAGAAATACCTCAGCTGGAAGAGGTCAGGTTAACTCTAGCGGTCATCACCCTTCAATTAACACACACACACATTTCAGACGGAATCACCTTGGGCTGAATCAGAGCTGATTTAATCAGCATGTGTCCACGGGTGCTCCTTCAGGCCCTGTGCTCAGAACGACAGAATCAAGCCCTTGTTTTTCATTTATAAAAAGACGTATCAGATCTACCCTCTGGCTTTTTGTACAAAATTAGAGCATAAAAGTTGAATTATTAGAAAAACATTATCTCCTCCAATTGACATAATTAGAGATCGAGGTTAAACTGATGTCTGTCTTATGAAGATAAAAAAGACATTTAATTCGAATGGAAAAATCTCCTTGTAAGGTGCTTCTCGCTGATTTTTTAAAGAAAAGAAAAAAGCTACATTTTCAAATGAGAAATTTCTCATTGACCACATTTACATGCACATGATCACAGGAAATTTGGATATTCCTATATACAGAAGTGGCCTAAAGTGATGTCCGGAGGGGATTATTATTTTTTTTTTATGACCGTACAAGTTCGAGTATTGTCTAATAAAAGTATTCGGCAAAAAAGCAACAAAAAAAAAATGCATAGGAAAACAAAAAGCTCACAGGCAAAAAAAAGCATACATTGACTACAATATAATCAGTTATTAATATTTCGTTGATTCTCTCTTGTTTTTTCAGGTGTTAAAAATTTCTTTGTATGAGAGCCTGGCAAAAAAAAAAAAAGATGTCTGCACAATTTGGCATGTTTCATTGCATTATCATATAAAAAAATTGACTTCAAGCACAACTGACCCATATGCTTTAAACAATTTTTAAATAATGTTTAAATAACGGGTGAAGATATCCATTTTCCTAGGCCAGATGTCACTTTTGGCCACTTCTGTACATGTACGCAGCTTAAGGGTGTATTCTCACCAGGAAAAGTCCGCTAGTTTACTTGCTTTGGTCCAATCGAACCCTAAATGAATACACACTAAGTCACGGCAAACAGGTTTGCAAGGTTACATGACGCATACTGTACATATAATCAATCCTGATATTGATATGCATGTAGACTGTGGTCACTTTCTAAATATGAATTAGAATTGGATGAAAGCAAAGACGTTTCCCATCTACACTGAGGACAAATTCGCCCTTTTTGATTGTGCATTAAAACATGGCACGGATTTGAGATACAGCATTCATGCCGACTCCTTAGAAGTTTGACAATACCACCGCTGAACTGATACAAAACAGCAGAGCCCAAACTCGACAGTCACCCATTCCCTAAAGACACACACGCCGCCTGGGTCCCGCAGATTTCCGGAGAATTCTTCAGAGAACAGCGATAACGAGCACGAGGAACAGCTTTCATAGGTGCTTTCATCATCGACCGCACCTGGTGGAGTTGGCAGCTGTCTCCCACCCCCCAAAAACCCACCCAGACTCGAGTGCTCCCTTCACACACACACACACACACACATAAACAAACACACACACACTCTAACCACACTGTCTTTGTACAGCTAACAAAAGCCTCCAAGTGTTCACTGTGCTTTTTCTGTCTGCATACTAGAGAAATTATTACTGTAAATGATTCTTTGAGTAAGAAAGAATTGTAAAAAAAAATTGTATTGCGTGTGCAAATTAAGGAGTATTTTCTCCTTAAAAATGCCGTGTACCAAAGATCGTCTCAAAACTGGTTTGAAACCGCCTGTTTCCTACCATCAGGAACATGTAACCAAACCAGTCAACATGCGGGGCAGGGCTTTTCTCCTCTGACTTTCCATGATAGGTGTTTTCTACATGAAACGCATTACCGTTCTGATACATCGACTTGTATACGACCCTGTATAATTCGCTCTTTCTCTCCTTCTGAATCAGTTTCTGGTTCAAACATACATGGCTGAATTAAACCAGTATTTCCACTTGCCATCGTGTAGCGTTTACTATGGCAAGCCGTTTTAGCTTAAATTGTTCCCATCCTTACTCGTCGTAATTGCATTTTTACTAGTAAGAATTCAATTAGAGAGCTCTACAATTCAATTCTTACTAGTAACAATTACAATTAGAGAGCTCTCTAATTCGATTATTACTAGTAACAATTACAATTAGAGAGCTCTACAAATGAATTTTTACTAGTCATATGTCTCCATTGACTTCCATTCATTTTTAATTAGAGAGCTCTATAATTGAATTGTTACTAGTAAGAATTACAATTAGAGAGCTCTCTAATTCAATTATTACTAGTAAGAATTACAATTAGAGAGCTCTCTAATCCAATTCTTACTAGTAACAATTACAATTAGAGAGCTCTCTAATTCAATTCTTACTTGTAACAATTACAATTAGAGAGCTCTCTAATTAAAAATGAATGGAAGTCAATGGAGACATATGACTAGTAAAAATTCATTTGTAGAGCTCTCTAATTCAATTCTTACTAGTAAGAATGCAATTGCAGAGCTCTCTAATTCAATTATTACTAGTAAGAATTACAATTAGCGAGCTCTCTAATCCAATTATTACTAGTAACAATTACAATTAGAGAGCTCTCTAATTAAATTCTTACTAGTAAGAATGCAATTACAGAGCTCTCTAATTGAATTTTTACAAGTAAAAAAACAAATTAAAGATATGTATAATTGCAGAGCTCTGTAATTGAATTAAAGAGCTCTGCAATTGCATTCTTACTAGTAACAACTGAATTAGAGAGCTCTCTAATTGGAATTCTTACTAGTAATAATTGGATTAGAGAGCTCTCTAATTGAATTAAAGAGCTCTGCAATTGAGTTGTTACTAGTAAGAATTGAATTAGAGAGCTCTATAATTGTAATTCTTACTAGTAACAATTGCATTAGAGAGCTCTCTAATTGAATTGTTACTAGTAACAATTCAATTAGAGAGCTCTACAATTAAATTGTTACTAGTAAGAATTGAATTAGAGAGCTCTCTAATTGTAATTGTTAATAGTAAGAATTGGATTAGAGAGCTCTCTAATGGTAATTCTTACTAGTAACAATTCAATTGTAGAGCTCTCTAATTGTAATTCTTACTAGTAACAATTGAATTAAAGAGCTCTGTAATTAAAAATGAATGGAAGTCAATGGAGACATATGATTAGTAAGAATTCATTTGTAGAGCTCTCTAATTGGAATTGTTACTAGTAAGAATTGAATTAGAGAGCTCTGCAATTGTAATTGTTACTAGTAATAACTGAATTAGAGAGCTCTCTAATTGTATTTTCACTAGTAAGAATTGAATTAGAGAGCTCTCTAATTGTAATTGCTACTAGTACGAATTGAATTGTAAAGTTCTCTAATTAAATTTTTACTAGTAAAAATGAAATTACAACAAGTAAGGCTGGGTACAATTTAAGCTAAAACGGCTTGCCATAGTTTACTACAGTTGACTGAGTGGATCAGGAAGTCTGAGCTCTTGTGATTGAGTGGAGGCGGGGCTAATTTGCATATTCATTATTCTAAATATACTAAATTAAGCAAAGGTATAGAGTTACACTCAAGCTATTTTAAGGCATGGTGAAATTATTTTCACAGGAAAAAAGTGTTTAAATATGTCCTTTTGATTATCAAAGATGAGTTTTAAGGGATACAATTATTGACTGCAGGGGAACTTCAATCATTTTTATGTCTGAGTGGCTTTTATTCATCGAAAATATATTTTTGTAATTAATCGAATCGCATCGGATTTTAATGTGAATCTTCTCGAATCGAATTGTTCTGAATTTGCAAAAATTCTTGAATCGAATCGAAAACCTATGAATCGTGAATCAAATCGATCCGCTGTCTACCCAAAGATTCACAGCCTAACTTTAAAATGTTTCCCGTTGTGTCATTTAAAAAGAATGAACTGGTTCTGAATAATTCCCAACCCTATTAGACAGACATTGATAACTCAATGCATGCGTCTAAAGCATGTGTGGGTAGATATATGCACACAAAACACACACACACACACCTGGCCACGAATACATCCGTCATCTATCTTCAAATCACTTTCCCTTTTCCACCTGCTACTACATCTCTGTCCTCCTCCTCCTCCTCCTCCATCCTGTCGTCCTCCTCCACTTCCCCTGGGTTCGGCAGGCTGCTGTCCTCCCCCAGAATGCGGCACAGCTCTACCAGCCGCTGTTGCATCTTGGGAATTCCCGAGAGCTGGGTCTCGAGTCGGAGCTTCTCGTCCTGCAGGGAAATACGCGTGGAGGCGTCCAACTTCTCAAAGCGCCAGCCGCCCTCACCGTCAAACTGCAGCAGGTGGGAGTGGTACTTCCTGTGAGCAGAGGAAGTTCAGGTCAACGCGTGTAATTTGGATTTAAAGTAACGCAAAGATGCTGGTAGAGAAATCTCTGAATGAAACACAGTTTAAAGCTGTGCAGTGTCCTCACATGGGCTTTTTCCCTAAATTCCTGGAAAGTTTGACAGTATTACGAGCGTAAAACTGCTGTATTATACACTTCTAAAGTATAGTTATTATTTATTTTCTATAAAATCCTCTTATAAGGCGTAATTTAGTTTTTGATGACCATTTTCACCCGTTCTCTTTATACTACCATACTTTCAAAAAGTCTACATGCAAATGACCCCTATTGTTATGATTAGCTAATATCTGGGTACTGGACTAATTCGCAGGGTGAACATGCTCAATATTTAATAATGTGATCAAAGCTGAATTTTCAGCATCATTACTCCAGTCTTCTCTTCAGTGTGACATGATCCTTCAGAAATCATTCCAATATGCTGATTTGCTGCTCCAGAAACATTTCTGAGTATTATCAGTGATGAAAACAGTTGTGCTGCTTCATATTTTTTGTGGAAACCATGATACATTTTTTTCCGGATTCTTTGGTGAACAGAAAGTTCAAAAGAACAACATTTGATACGGAAATCTTTTGTTACATTATAAATGTCTTTACTGTCACTTTTAATTAATTGAATGCATCCTTACTAATCAAAAGTATTCATTTCTTTCAAGCGATCTTATATTGATGTGCTCATGGATGTGATAATCTCTTAAAAGATTCACTTCTATCATTTTGCTAACTTCCACACACCCTTTTTCCCCAAACCCTAAAATAAGACATGAATCATAGGCAGAGAGCATTATTAGGTGGCTAGTTTTCTGATTCCGCTTCCCTGAAATTTATTTCCCTCTTTTTTCCCCCTAGTGCAATCCCAGAGACAGGTGTTTTCTCTCAGGACACCTATTTCTGATGTTATGCTGGGCATTCAGCTCCTTTAACAACCCGTTATTGCAGCTTTGTTGGATAGTCTGGGGAGGGAGTTTTGTGTTGTGAATATAGAGTATGTCTACACACAGTACGTCAAAATTCTACTTCAAAAATCCTGTTTTCCATCATATGACCACTTTAATCTTATGTGTTTATGATTTAAAGCTTAGTTCCTGAATTAACATAAATATGCTTTTTTTCCCCCACAAGCAATAAAAGAACTGCTCTTCATTTTCATACGATTGAAAACCCACCAGAGAGAAGGACGGTGTGTAATAGAGAGAAGCGCAATCCCAGCATCCTTTGCAGCTTCAAAGATTTTGCCCTCCACATCAATACTCACAGCACTCGTACACTCGTCTAGGAGGGCATATTGAGGCCTGTTAGAGATAAACCAGAGATTTATCAGCTTTAAACACACAAGTTGTTGGGGACTTTTTAAACAGACTTAAAAGCACTAGTTGGCAGTTGAATTGTTTAATGTTTTATATTCTGACTTTCCCATTAATAAATATCTGAGTGGTTCAACAATAATCTCCCCTAAAGCAGCTGCTTGCTTCAAATGCAAAGTGAGCTGTAAAGATTCCAAAAACACTAACTGCTAATAACATTCAGTAATTAAATATTTATCAATCCAGTGGCTTAAATGAAACCATGAGCAGCTTTCCTACATGTACTGTACCACAATTTAGCATCTTCAAAGTGTTATTTTTTCTTTCAGAAAGAGGAAGTCATTCTAACAATTATCTCAAGCAACTGAAAGATCATTGCTGGGAAAATACCCCAATAATATCCCTGATTCTTAACTTGGATTTAAATAGATGTTAGTCTATTAGTCTACCGAACCTTAAAAATGATATGTGTCTGCCTTAAATAATTTGAAAATGAACATAAATGTGTGTTATATTTGATTCAATGTTTACCAACTACATTTCCGTCTGATTTTTGCAAAGATGTATAGAAAGGATCGGTCTCTATATTGTTGAATCTGTATGTAAAGAGTGTCAAAATGTAAATACGTTCTGTGACGTACTTATGGTAAAACATCCTGGCCATGCCCATCCGCTGCTTCTCTCCTCCAGACAACACATCCTTCCAGTCGCTCAGTGCGTCCCAACCTGACAATATTTAATCATGTTTAAATACTAATAATATATGTTTACAACCAATACAGTTTTGCTTCTTCAGTATTACTGAATCATTTACGCATGCATTATTAATTATATTTATTAATATTTAATCTAAAAACATCTGTTAGTTCGACAGTTTACATCCAGTACAGTAAATGTGCTTGCTTTCATCTTGCAACACTGATGAAAATAAACATTCAAATATCAGACTGTGTGCACCACCATTCAAAAGTGTGGGGTGAATAATATATATATTTTAATGTTTTCGAAATAAGTCTCTTATGCTCACCATAGTAAGAACTATAATATTATGAAATATTATTACATTTTAAAATAACTGTTTTCTATTTGAATATATTTTCAAATGTATTTTATTTCTGCGATTCAAAGCTGAATTTTTAGCATTATTCAGTGTCATATTACCCTTCAGAAATCATTCAATATGATGATTTGCTTCTCAAGAAATTTCTTATCATTACCAATATTGAAATAAAAGTGCTGATTCAAAAGAACAGCGTTAATTTGAAACAGAAATCCTTTGTAACAAATATAGTAGTGGCCAAAAGTGATATCCGGAGGGGATTTACGTTTTTAATGGCCCTATAAGTTTGATTAAACCATCAAAATATGATTTTTTTATTTTTATATTTCAAATATGAGGGAAGAACAAAACACCGAACTTGGTTAAAGTATTTATCTGACATTATTTTGGGAAAAATAAAACTACAGCTACAGGTTTTTATTTTACTATGCAAAATAAAACACAAATAAAACAATTGACTCCAAGCACAACCATGCAATATGCTTATAATAATATTTGAATAAAGGGTGTCAATTTTCCTAATCCCAAAATCACTTTTGGCCTCTAAAATTCTCTCACCTCCCTCTCTCTCCAGGATGTAGCAGAGGTTCACAGTTTTGAGGATTTCCTCCAGCTGCAGGTCAGAAACGCTCTTCTCCTGCATATCCTGAACAGAGTGCGGATAGATGACCTGATCTCTCAGCGTTCCCACCGACATATAAGGCCTGAAACAAAAAAAAAACAATAATAAATCCTGCCATTTAATCATTTAGTTCTTTTTGTTATGGAGGAATAACATTCATTCACTGTTGTAATGAAACTTGAGTCCAAGTCTGTTTTTAGTGGATAAAATAGCCGGATTCATCTGATGAAAAGGTATTACTTTCTGAATAACATTTATATTTCTCACTGTGTAATGATATTTTCACAGTGTGTCTTGTTTGATCTATCCATCCATCTATTCTCTGTTTCACATCCTGCATTAATAATTTTCATAAAACGAAGGCAAAATGGGTGAAGTGTTTCAAAATGTAGCCTACTCAAATCAATTGAGCATTAGGCACATCCTATAAAAAGAAGAACAAAGTCTTATTAAATCTTTTTTCTCATTAACAGTTCTAATATAGATGTTCAGTGAACTGCAAGCAGGCCAAATGACAAACAGCTGCAGGTTTTAAATGATGTCGGACACATCCCGTTGTGTGATCATGAACGCGTCGCGACGCTGTGCTCCTGTTGGGTTTGTAATGAAGCCGACATGTAACGCAGTCACAGGAGCACCATATGTGCTGACTGCTTTCGGATTGTGCTCCTCGTTTTAATCAGCACGCTCATCAGCACTAATTAACCTGGCACGGCGTGGGAAATGGAAATAAACACATGCACGCACACCCACGTCTCTGCCTTCTAATTGATCTTAATTCTTAGACAAAAATCCAGCAGACTGATTCTCAGTACTGGGCCCTGAACCTGCACAAAGAGGAATCATCAGCCTTCTACAATCACATGCCAATTTCTACACTACTGGCATTTACATAATATTCTGTGTATGCTAGATTAGATTTAGTCTCATATCAGAGTACACAAACAAAAAGAATTTTAAAGGTGTTTGGGTGACATATTGGTTTTAACCTGTGTAGTCATGCTTTTTGGACATTTTTTTTTTTTTACAAATGTTTTATCTAAAAATAAATCCAAGGCTGAAGCTGCTACATTGGTTGTATGTAAAGGTAATGAATTTATCCAGATGTTAGCTCTCACATGACAGAGTATCGGCACGCAATTTTCAAGATTTGTAGTGTCTCCCAATACTGACATAACCTTTGCAACTAAAGCTAGGTGAAACAACTATGAAAAACTTCTACATTTTTCTGCCTGTTGATGATATGCAACATATCTCGCTATAATTACCAATTTGCTCCAAAATAGCCAGTTGTCAAATTATTATTACATTTTTTAATTGCATCCCCCTAATTCAGATTTTTATCATTATTAAATTATTGGACTTTTGATTATTATAGAATTATTATGTTGGTTACATCTTTGAGGAACAACAATGAAAATAGTAATAAAAAAAATAATGAAGGTACATTTTTACATTTTTTCCCCCACCAAGTGAACACAAGAAAAATAAATATAAATTTTATGTATATATAGATATTATAATATAAATATATAATATAATACACATAAAAAAAACATAACGTTGATATAGATTTGTATAATGAAATTATGTATTATATTGTCTACACTATAATGATTAAGTGATTATGCAAATGAATCAATAAATCAGAGTTTTGAATTGATTCACTGAAACTTTGCTAATTAAGTTTAAATTAGAGCATTAAAACATAGTAAAACAGACTAAATAGTCATCAGACATGAGAGAAGGATGGATTGCTCAACTTAATGGCTACTTGAAAAATGCTTCAATTTACATATCATTTTAGGGTGTGTTCACACTTGTAGTTCGGTTCGCTTGGTCTAGACCAAAAAAAACCCCCAAACATTTAGTCCTGGTCCGCTTAGCGTTCACATTGGCATTTTCAACACCGCACCTAAAGGCATAGGGATACGTTCACAAACTAATTGGTTGGCTTTTATTACGTTATTTCGAGACAGAACTTATCGAACATCCAAAACAATGCTGTGTGCTGGGCTTAATGCGCTCGTTGTATGTGCGTAGCCTACATATGATGGTATTTTGACCAGCTGAGGACTCGTGAAGAGCTTATAAAATGTGTAAAGGAGTCAAAACAGCGTCAGGAATCCCTCTGTCACACACAAACGCAGATCTGCTGTGAGGAGACGCCGTTCTGATGCCTGTACTGAACGGTGATAGGCAACATTGCGACTATGACGAGAAAAAAACAGGTATGTTTGAGCATTCTGTCCTTTTTAGGGTTGCATCTTGTGACATCATGTCCCATTTTTTGTTCATTTACATGTCTTTGATCCATGTTGTGTTTATATTTCATTCGAACTGCACCAGAGTTCCTTTGGAAGCGGTTAGAGGCAGTCTCGGCCCACTTGTTTGGTGCACACCAGGGTTTGGATGGTAGTGTTCACACTTATTCAAATGAACCGCACTAACATAGCAATCGCACGAGGGTTTGTTTTAATCGAACCAAACATGCCAAGTGTGAACACACCCTTATATGAAAAACCCTAGTCCTACCTACTACATAGTCAAAAGCATATGCTGTAACTTCCCATCACGAGTGAAGTACATATTTTAATGCACACTTTTTAGGTCACCGCGTGTAATCTGTGTGTAGTACCTTTGAGGTATGTAAAACATGTGCTCGGGTGAAGGCTTATAGAGCACTCCACTGTAGACGGGCCAGAGGCCACTCAGGATTCTGAACAGAGAGCTTTTTCCACAACCGTTGGGGCCCGTGATCAGCAGATGCATGCCTTCTTCAACCTGGAGAGAAAGACCCAACATCCCCCAACATGTTAAAAAAGACACACACACAAACATACATGCAGCAGATCCCAGAACACCCCCACAGAGAGAGAGAGAGAGGGATACACAGGGGGACAAACCACGGGAAACAGCTAAATGTGTTTACAAATTCAGCAAAGCCACAGGGTTAAAAGGAGCAACTGTGATGGGAAACGCTTGATGGTTTTCAAAGCCTCTCTCTAAAACACAACATACCAAGAAAAACAGATCGCTCCCTCTCTGCACCCTGTCATTATGTTAAAACCCTCCATTCACCAGACACATAAATATACCAGCGCGGCATCCAGCTAGAGCGTCAATTACTATTAAAAGACCTTCAACACAACACCAAACCAATGTGAATCATCTGGGTTCAAAACATCTGGAAGCGGAGTTAATGATATTTCTAAGTTTAGAGACGAGCTGTTCGAGTGACTTCAGCCTATTTTGACGGCTGTCTGGCAGTGAAGTGCAGATTTAACCGGATTTAATCTTAAAGGAACAGTTGAGTTCATCCAAAAATGTAACAACCTTAAAGCAACGTCACATTATATCTGGCCTCCGTGAGAGGTTTCATCTATCACATCATTGTCTACTGTGTTTCTTCCTCTTGGCTTGCAGTAGGCGGTCTGCTTTTGGCTGAGAAAGCATTGTGGGTAACATGAATTGTGTCATGAGCGCACCGCATGACTGCGACATCATGGCCATGAGAGGGTATTAGCACCATGCCGCCCCTGCAAATCGAGGCGCAGTCGTGGAAACCCTAAGAGCACACCAACGCACGACCGGAATATAATCAGCACATTGTCCAGGGCGGACCAGAGGGGGTTCACACTGTGGTACCCATGACCCATTTTTTTTAGAATTTGGTAGGAAACATGAATTAATCATAAGGGAGCAGATACTCATTCTATAGTCAAAAAATAGGTTTTTAAAGAATTCTGGTGCATAAATGGTAATTCTGGTGCATAAAGCATGAACTGCATTCATAACTAACGCATCTAAGACTCATTTAATGAAATAATTCCCACTGAAATAGTCAATTGAACAATGATTGCCATACACTAATAATTCAGTATACGTTGCGTACTGATGGGCTCAGAAATTTCATGAAAAATTCACAACAGGTGAATACACACACAATTTTTCATACCCTCATTCTAATATTGATGAATCCAGAAATTATCGACAAATTCTATATTCTATAGAAATTATATAGAATTCTAATAAAAATGTGAATAATAGTGTATAAATATGTGTGTGGGTATATATATATATATTATACACAGTATGGGTCTCATTCATGAAACACGAGCAGAACTAATTTTTGTGTAAATCGTGTGTAAAGTGGTTCTGGCGTAAATTTTCGGATTCATTAAAATGTTCATATTTTCCAAATGTTAGTTGGTACACAAGAAATCTACACCTGCTCCCAGCCACTCGTAAATAGTGCGCTTAACACCCGAACGTTTTGCTCAATAATAAGGCTGCATTTTAATTCACCTTAATCGGGTACATATTTGCACAGCATTTTGAAAAAATATTATATATAGTAATTACATACGGTTTTTCTTATTATGAGAGCCAGTAATAGCATCTGCGATGGTGGTCCTTCTCCAGTTTGAAAACTATTTTTACGAAGTGAACTAATTCGTTTTTTGCTCTCAAGCTTAATGTCGAACCATTTTCTTCTCACTTCTGGGAATGTTCGATTAACAGATGAAACTCCATTAACTGCATCTGTAATGCTGCCAAGCTTCCTTTTTTTTAGGACCCGATACGCCACTATGTACGCTTGAAAATAAAATGTGGCGTTTTGAATGAACTTCTGATAATAAAACTTCAATTTCTGCATCTGAGAATTTCTTTTTTTCATTCGCATTCCTGTCATAATATGATGCCCATATATAGGTGTCAGTCGGATTTAATGGGCGGGATTTATGGTAATTGAGAATGAGCGTGCACGCGCGTCCCATTTACGACTGATTGGAATTCATTAACACACACACACATTTCACTATCACATCTGACGTTTACGAAGTATTTGTGAATCAGGAGAAGAGTTCTCGGGAAGGTCTCTTTACGCGCAAATCACTCGCATATTTACTCGTATATTTACGAATGTTTCATGAATGAGACCCTATGTGTGTGTGTGTATAAATAGTATATACATATATTTTACACATAAAAAGAATCAGACCCAATTTATCATTAATATTTGCAAAAATAATCCTTCATTTTGGAATGATGTACTAAAAGACATTGTTTTGTATGCGTGTTGCTGAACTGCCATGCAATGCATCTAAAATGACTTTAAACAGCTTTTTATAATTCTTCTTGTATAATTATCATACATGGATTTGAATGCATATTTCTTCATATTAATGGAGCATGGAATATATATATTTTTTTTCCACAGAAAATTTTAATCCAGAGGTCTACAAAACTGCAAAAAAAATCTAAAAGGTGCTATAAAAATGGTAAGAAAATGTGACCAGTTAAAGCACCTTGTATATATTTCCCTTAAATATTAACCAAAAAGCTTGATCTTAAAAAAACACCGACACGTCCATGTCAGTCAACTATCGACATATCAGCTCTGCAGGTGTTATCTAAAACATGTGCATAATAAACAGCGGATCTGAGAACATATCAAATGAAAATCTGCAAGACTGGGACATATTTTGCTGAACTTATCTTGCTAGCTTTAAAGTTTACGGCTTTAAGTCCTGTCAATATGTTTTGAGCTGTACAGAATAACTGACTATATCTGTCACCAGAGCACAGGCGGGGAAAACTAATTCAAATATTCCATAAAGATAAGCTAATGCAAGCAAAACTGACAGTAAGAGTGAATGACCAAAATACATACAAATTCTCTCTGGGGGTCTCATAATAATCTCCACCTAAACCCACTATAAACTGTCAAAGGTCAGACACTGATTAGCAATGCTGTATTATCAGTGAAGTACTCACAGAACTGGGACAGAGAAATAAGAACAGATAACAGCCTCATTGACATATTCACACTTCACATGCACATAAATCATGCATGTTGCATCAGACCATGGGCTCATTTACTCTGCATGAGCACAAGATATTGCAGCATAGAGTAAGAAATAATTGAATATACAGTCTCCTTAGCTGGAAAATGGAGAACGGTTTTAGTTGGTTGTAACAAGTGTGCAATCCCTACTACCCGCATGCTAATTTTGCACTGGTAAAATTAGATTCTGTATTAAAATGACTGAAGGAGGTTATAAGTTTGGAATTTACCTGGATGTTCAGGCTGGAAACCACCACATCCCCTGTAGGAGTTATTATTGGCAGGTTTTCACATTTAATACCCTGTTCCACATCAATCACCTGACCTAAACAAACGCACACAAACAAGACTTCATGTAAACGACTATGTTCAGCATGGAATATAAACTGCTCAGTACATACTTAATATAGACTACCGTTGAAAAGTTTGGGTTCGGTAATATTTTTTAAACGTTTTTGAAAGAAGTCTCTTATGCTCACCAAGACTGCATTTATTTGATGTAAAAACAGTTCTATATTTAAAACAAAATCCTACTGATCCCAAACTTTTCAACGGTAGTGTACACTAATAAAGGATGCAACTGTAACTGTGTAAACTGTAGTATCCTATACTGTTGTGACATGACCGCATTTAATTCAGCAGTTTTTCCATTGAAAATAAAAAGGGTTATTTTGCATTTTAATCCAATTCTCAATGAAAATGTGTTCACTTTTGAAAACCCCCTCAAATAATAAACAAGAGCACAAATCAAAATCATGGTTTACATTGCTTCCAGTTCATTTGCCAAACCATAAATGGGGTCAAGTCGAGCGCATTGCATTGTAGGATATAATATTCCAGGCAGTATGCACTGACTGTATAAGATACATTTTGTAGTAAGATCATCTGCAAATTCAATTAATGTGCAAATTATACATACTGCATAATACTTTTTAGATGGTATGCTATTCCGAAAATGGATATAATGTTACATAATACACAACTTAAAGAGAAGCAACTAAACCTCTTATCTGCAGCGGTCCCTCCACTCTCGTGCCATGTGTCACCATCTGAGCTGCTCCTGTCTCTTCTGGCTTCACCTCTGTGGCCGAACGGCGGTACACCCCGACACGCACTTCCTCAAACACCTCGAACATCTCATACACACGAGCGGTATATCCAGCCAGTTCTGTGACCTGTGATGGGATGATGGAGCATTTTTTAGCAACTTTCACACATGAAACCCTATATAGGCAACGCCTTTGACTGAAGTAACTAGTCTGAAAATGGCAGAGAATTATTTATTTGGAGCTGGATGCACAATGTTTAAGTTTGCTACATTCACATGACGAAAGATGATAGAAGATGCACACTAGTTTTATATTGTAGCTTTCAGATTTACGTGCCCCTAAACGTCACATTCAAAAAGAAAACTGGTTGGTTATATAAAATGGTTAATGTTTTTTTCTTATAGTTTATTGTTTTAAAGTGCCCCTTTCAGACAGTACCTTTCATGTAGTGTGTAATATAGCTGTTTCTGAATGTAAAAGGTCTGCAAAGATAAAACAAAATCAAAGTGCAGGATTGAGTTATTGTCTCCCAAAAGAAAGAATCGATTCGGAACTGCCTGGAACAAGTCGTCAGTAATACCAGTCTTACTTCCTGCACAAAACTATGTAGGTTTGTAACAAATTTGCATAATGCCAGTCAATAGGGGCTTTCGCACCGGAGGAACCTTTTCATACAGTAGTTCCTAGAACTATTGGCAGAAGTTCCCGGTTTTTTGGCGTGTGCGCACAGCAGGAACTAGGAACGATTTTAGTTCTAGGAACTCTTTTGGAGGAACTAATTTAGCCCCTACTTCAGAGTTGGGTCTAAACCAGCACTATAGGAACTATCTGTGACGTAAGTTTACGCTGATTGGCCGAAGGCACGCGAAAACAGTGATAGATGGCCCTCTTAAAGGAGAACTCCGGCGCAAAATGAACCTTTGGTCTAATAACACATTGGTACCGAGTCGACCGTTCTCTGGGATTTGTTTTCATGATAATCGAATGTAAAGAGTTTTATCTCTAAAAACTGTTTAGCCTATAACGCTAGTATATAGGGCATAGAATAAGTAAAAAGAAATCGCTAGTTAATACCACTAACAAGGCTCAAAATAGCCCCACACTAACACAGTAACATAATGAGGGTCCCTACATGCAAACCGAAGCATTGAGAACTTTGTAAGTGTACAGACAGTTTAATAAGAAAATACTTTATAAAGACAATCAACTGTATACAGGCAGGAGCCATCTTGGAAAACAGTCTCGACCAGTCGAGCCACGAACGCCGTGCTAAGTGAGCTGAACTGTGACTTGGAATCTCATAAGTATGGGACCCCTTTTTCCCTTGTAGTTAGTCACCCATATATTTTATAAACAGATATAATTCATGCATTTCCATGTAATTTGATTTCACAAACGTAATTCCGATCGACCAGCTCACTTAGCACGGCGTTCGTGGTTCGACTGGTCGAGACTGTTTTCCAAGATGGCTTCTGCCTGTATACGCGAAGTGTATTGTCTTTATAAAGTATTTTCTTATTAAACTGTCTGTACACTTACAAAGTTCTCAATGCTTCGGTTTGCATGTAGGGACCCTCATTATGTTACTGTGTTAGTGTGGGGCTATTTTGAGCCTTGTTAGTGGTATTAACTAGCGATTTCTTTTTACTTATTATATGCCCTATATACTAGCGTTATAGGCTAAACATTTTTTAGAGATAAAACTCTTTACATTCGATTATCATGAAAACAAATCCCAGAGAAAGGTCGACTCGGTACCAATGTGTTATTAGACCAAAGGTTCATTTTGCGCCGGAGTTCTCCTTTAACCTTTACGCTGGGGCAGAAAATCCAACGCAACTTTAAGGGGACCAAGCATAGACTGTGGGACCAAGCCAAACATTATCATATATTTCTGCTCAGCAAGCAACACTGGACATCAACCACACGGCATACACTAATAACTTTTCATTACTGTCTACTGTCTATGCATAACAGTTCTATCCAATAACATATTAGACAGGACTGTTGGTCAGATCGTAAACTAATGAACACAGATAATGCGAGCGCTGTTTGCTCAGGCTCTGGTGTTCTCAGCGCCAACAAAATAAAAGCGCAGCTTACGTCACTTCAGTGTTCCTACTGGCGGTGGAAATGCAACCGGAAAACGTTCCTAGGGGAACCACCCTGGTGGTTATGCCGCGTTCCAGGCAACCTGTAACCCGTGTTTTTCCAACCTTATACCCGTGAAAGTGCACTGGAACGGCAGTCAAACCCGTGACTTCCCACCCGTGAACTCGTACTAGATCGATGTACTCCCAGTTACGAGTTCTGGCGTCACATAGCCCGCGGAACCATACAAAACAACAATGGCAGCCCCCCCCCACACACACACACACACACGGTGAGAATGCACTTTAGGCCAATATAACGTTTCAGTCAAATTAATAATTATATTATAATGATAAAAATACACACACGATTATGTATTACAATTTTAAGTGTCTCTGAAACAATAAGTATATATTGCGCACAGGTAGTTTGGCATGACTGGATGGAACGCTACAAAGTCGTGAGTCGTGGTTTGAAGTCGTGATTTACCTGCTCAAAAACCTGCCTGGAACGCAGCATGAGTTCCTAGAACTATCCGGTGCGAAAGCCCTTATGGTCTTCACTGGCTGCTGGAGAACAAAGTCAACTTTGACCCTTAAACACTGTAGTTGTAGCTAAGACTGGAATAGTTTAGCTTGTGTTGTCGACATGTAAAGGAGATTCAGTTTTCTGGGCTGCGGAAGCAAATCCACTTTGCATGCACTTATTATGACAGAATACATTTTCTTGTAAATCTGTTTAGTTTTTGTTCATATAGAAGTGCATATTTATAGGTTCTGCTTAGCTTGTTCTTTTGCAAACAAAAATGTTTTTTTCTTCTTCACTGTTATCTAGATGTAAAAGTGCCTACTGGAAGGTTGGTATGTGAAATGCATCTCACCTCTTTGTAGGAGACCATGATCCTCTCCACAGCGTCAGCTGCCGCGTTCAGAAGGTTCCGGGCCGTTGTAAAAGCCTGTGTGCGGTCACTCACCAAGTCCTCCTCCTTCATCACCAGGGCTGCTTGTTTCACATCCTCTGAATCTGAATGGACGTCACAAGAACACGAGCATGAGAAAAATATAAAATACAATAGGGGTGAGAGGAGCAAACACGTCTATCACATTTTAGGGACCTTGTTTTGAGGTTCTGTGGAGAGGACATTAACAGATTGTTGATTGACAGCAGTGATTCAACACAGACCCGCCCTCGCTCGTCCTGTCAATCATAGTCTGCGCGGAGCGGCGCGGTCATTGTTGATATGTTGGAGCACTGTCTATGAGCAGAATGTCTATGAGCAGAATGGCGTCTAAGCGACTGTGGTGTTCTGTTCTTGGGTGTAATAACGAACACAGCAGTCATTTTAATGTTCCTAAATCCGAACCGCTGAAGACGCAGTGGCTGAGTTTGTTTTCGAAGGGAATATTCCCCACGAGCAACGTCAATGCTCTCATGTTTGCGCGAATCATTTCACAGTGGACTGCTTTATAAACGAGGATCAGTGTAAAGCTGGTTTTGCTGAGAAGCTGCACCTGAATAAAGGATCGGAACCTATTCGTGTTCCTGCTGAACCTTCAGAAGAACTAAAGTGAGTGTAACGTTTTATTAATCTTTATATTAATATTTATATTAATCTTTGCAAATCGCCAGCTGCACGCTTCACGATGAATGCGTCGGTTTACACTTAGGGTACATTACAGCATGTTTTCTATGTACAACGTTCTCAATATAATTCATAATCCCACGTTTATACTGAACAACGGTTATGGTTATTGTGTTATTGTGTTACAAACGGTGTATGCGCAGAACAGAGAGGCGGGGTGAGCAAAGCTCATTATCATTTAAAGTCATATGCACTGAAACGGCGTGCTGAAAACAGAGCTGTTTTTGACCAGGTAAAATAAGTGTTTTCTTACAATACTAATGAGAATTTTTAATTAAAGTATATTACAAACTTTTAATTTAGACCCTAAAGAATCATATTAGCTTGTACAAAAATGGCATTATGTGACCCCTTTAACGTCACTTTCCCGCCGGAACATGCCCCCCTCAGCCGGACTGAGTGGCAAAAGAGCTGCTGCGTGACTGGAGTTAATAGGGGAAACTGCGAAAACGCGAGTAAAACAAACTATTATCAGTTTAAACTAAAAGTTGGACTCGATATAGTGTTCCTTACAACTTATCAAAGATCCAGTGATCCATGGATATTGACATGCAGCCAGGAATCGTGTTTCCTGACATTTATATGTGCCTGATTTCAACGCCGGGGAAATAAATTAAGAAAATTTGCCTGTAAACGTTTTATATAAATACAATATAGATAGGTCTAAATCCGAGTGATCACTTACATTAATGTTATACTGTATATCATCATATCGTCCAGCCCTAAAACTTGTATAGTTTTTTGTCAGTGTTTATTTAAAAACATCCAATTATGCAGAATATAGTCTGTTCTGTAGCTTTTTGCAGTCTGTAAAAATATACAGTACCTCAGATTTCTGCTCAAATCTAGTTGTACAGTCAATCGCAAAGCTCTTTCCCGTTTTAGATGTGTTTTGTGTGTTTTTCATGGCATTCACACTGAAAACAAATGTCTTTTTGCCACTTTTTGCCGCATACCCTCTATAGGCTGTAGGTCTTAACACAGCAGTTTGGGGTCAAAACTTTGAAAGAAATTAATACTTAAGACACATTAAATTGCCCAAAGTGACAGTAAAGATGTTTATAATGTTACAAAAGTTTTCAATTTCAAATTGCTGTTCTTTTAAATGTCTATTTATCAAAGAATCCTTCAAAAAGATGGATCATGGTTTCTACACATATATTCAGCAGCACAACTGTTTTCAACATTTCTGATCAAATAAATGCAACCTTGGTGAGCATAAAATATTTATTTTAACAACATTCAGAAACTAACCTTACCAAACTTTTGAATGCACACTTCAGGGACAAAAAAAACAAAATGGTACTAAAGTGTCCCCTTTAAGAAAACCATATCAACACATGCTCAATGATGTTCAAGGAAGTTTTGGATTGAAACAATCACAGAGCCAAAAAGTCTGGAGCCACAGACACGGAGAGGAGAATAGGGACTACAGATAATCATCATAATTTAATCCATACCATATTTAGAGTATCCGGTGGCAGTGATGATGGGCACAGCGACCATGACCAGGCCGGATGCGCTCCAGAGATATTTCATCAGGAACTGTTCCAGCATGACATACCACAGCCTCTTGAACAGGATCAGGTTAATCTGCTCGGACAGCGCCGTGTAGCTCCGCTGCAGCTGAAACATCTCGATCTGCGCAGGGCAGACACGCAGGCACGCACACACACACGCAGACATGCATACACGCAGATACACAGGCAACAAGATAACATTAAGCTGGTTTCCAAGGGTCCAATCAGGCTTTCTGATTCATGATAATTTCATTTCATAATTTGTTACTGTTAGTACGAATAAGAAACGTGTATTTTTAAGTGTAAAATCAGAGCACTTTAAAACCATCATGAAGGTTAAGTGAAGGTAAATGATGATGGTTATCTGTAGTCCCTGTTCTGTGTGAGTGAGAGTCTGGGGTCAAAGTGGAGCATACAGACTTTTGCCCTAATTCCAGGGCCTTCTTTGTATTCAGGCCACATGACCTCTCTCTATGAACACTTTCTCTGGCCATATGACTGTGAAGTTCAGGAACATTTCCAATTGCAGGCATGGGGCACTGTTTGTTTAGCTGGGACATTTGCTTTGTCATTGAGACACAGGCACAAAATGACCTCAAATACTCGTTTTACAGTCTTAAAGGGATAGGTCACCCATAAATGAAAATGCTGTCATCATTTAATACTCACCCTCATTACATCTCAAACCTGAAAGACTTTTTCTTCCAAAGAACAAAAAAAAAAAAAAATGAAGAATGAAATTTTAAGAATCTTACCTTTCCTAAAACATAAAGACACCAACGTTTGGGGTTGTTAAGAATTGTTTAATGTCTTTAAAAGAAGTCTATTATGCATGGAGCCCCTAAAGGGACCTTTGCAAAAATAAAATATACAGACTTTCTTGTGCTCATGAGAAAACTTTCTATTTTAAAATGTGTTTTATTCCTGTGATGCAAAGCTGAATTTTCAGCATCATTACTCCAGTCTTCAGTGTCACATGATCCTTCAGAAAACTTTCTAATATGCTGATTTGCTGCTCAAGAAACGTTTCTTTTTATTATCAATGTTGCAAACAGTTGTGTAGCTTAATATTTTTGTGGAACCCATGATACTTTTTTTAGGATTTAGAAAAAACCTTTAGGATTCTTTTGATGAATATAGTTCAAAAGAACATAATTAATTTAAAATAGACATTTTGGAACATTATAAATGGCTTTACTGTCACTTTTGATCAATTTAAGCATCCTTGCTGAATAAAAGTATCAAAAAAATGTTTTTAAACGGTGTATTTAAAGAATAAAATAATTAGCTTTTATATTTTCAGTGTACTAAAGTCAAAAGAAGTGATCAAAATTGTAAGGCACTTTTTACAATAAATGCTGTTCTACAAAACAAAAAGTGCTCTATGAAAAACCCTGGTATACAAGCCAATTATATTTATATAAAATATTATATATCATTATATATTATATTATTAAGGCAATAATAACACATTTGTTAAATCTGTTAAAAATATATATATAAATTGATTTAGACATTTAATTAACATCTTAAGCTAACATTAACATAGCCACAAAATGTATTTATTTATTTTTTAATAAAAAATACATATATTTTTTTTTTTATTGTGGCCCCCACTTTTAAAATCCCTGTCATAACAAAAACAGTCCATATGTCTCATGTGCAATATTTCAAATCTTTTAAAGCTAAGAGATCGCTTTGTGTGAGGAGCAGATTGAAAGTTATTCACTGAACAACTTCACTTTTTGGTTCTTTGGAGCTTAATTGCTGCTGGTCTGTTTTCATGCTATGAAAAAGAACAGTGTGAACATGCCCCATTCATACATCTCCATTTGCATTCCTCGGAAAAAAAAGAAAGTCATACAGATTTGGAAACACATGAGGGTGAGCAAATGATGACAGAAAACCAACCCAAGAGAATATTTTCTTACCTTATGTCCTCCATAGAAGGCAATCTCCTCTGAATTGGCGATGATGCGAGAATGCATGTATCTAAGGTCGCCTTTCCTCCTGGCTTCCTCGGCCACAAGTTTACCAAAGCGTGGGGAGAACATTCTCAGGACCTTGGCAGTAAGTGCCACCACGATGCCAGCTATGACGGAGGGCCAAGTGGTGTTGGCACCTTTCGACTCACCTATTTTAATAAGCGTGTAACAGGTCATCACTACGTCGAGGATTGGTTTGGTCAGGTTAGAGTACAGATGAGCCACAGAGGCAGCAAACATCACCACATCTTCAGTCAAGGACTGATCAGGGTTTGCCAACCTGCCGTCCATGTTGCTGACACGGTAGTATGTCTGATTGTTGAAATACAGCATGTAGGCATGGGTGACCAGCCGGGTGCGGAAGGCGAGGGTGAGCTGACCCTCCAGGTAACGGATGGCACTGTTCACAAACGTGGCCGGAATGGCGATGAGCAGCCATTTGGTTAACTCCACCACAAATGCCCTGGGGTCTTTCTTCACAATGGTTTTCACTATTTGCCCATCCAAACTGGCTACATAGATGGAGAGAAAGGTGCGTGAAATGAGGGCTAGAGAGTGGAAACCGAGCAGTCCAAGTTCTTTGCAGAAAAGCCGAGGAAAGAGGATTTTCAAGAGACGAATCAACCTCTCGAAGAATTCACGGTTCACAGCCGGGGAGCTTTTCTTTTTCCTTGAGGCTTCCACTTCTTGAGGTTCTCCATTGGAGGCAACCAGGTCAGCACCCTTAACCTGTTTACTAGTTCTTCCTTTCAGCCTGCCATATACGTAAGGGGAAAGTTTCTTCGCCCCATACAGCGCAACAAGAACGAGAATGGTCTTTTTCACAAGGGGGTTTTTCAGCTGGGAGGGAAGCTTTGAGTACACAGACATTTTGCTTGTAGCTTATCAATACTGAGATCATTCAAAATGAAGGTTATTGAAAGGCGGGTTGCTAACGTACACAGCTGTATGGATATCTATTCATGTAAACTAATAAAAATGTGATTTCAGCAAATTGACAGCATGTCAAACTAAAGTTCTATTCGAAATCTCAATAGTTTCGGAGACAGAAATTAAATTAAATGGAGAAAAGTGGAAACTTGTGTCTAGTTCTACTCTTCTTTCTTTTTTTATTGACAATTTTTATGGATTATCATACAACATAAAGCATAATTATGTTCTTAAGTGAGAAGATAAACTCAAATATATTTCTCAATCTAACAAACGATCTGAGTTATGCCATACACACGAATGTCAATAAACTCTATAGACTACTCTTACTGTATGTCAATAATTGTCTTATTTTAATCTATATTTGTTTAAGCTAAGGAGTTTTTAGAAGAAACACAGGCTACTTAAATGTCATGACTCGTGACTGACATATCCACTGAGGAACTTCTTTGGGAAATGTTTACAGGATTAAAAAATAAATAAAGTTAAATGTAAATATTTTGCGAGTAAGAATGGGAATATACTAAAAGTGGTAAATTATCTGGCAAACAACATGTCCTGACTTCAGAGGTAGTTCAAATGACAGCTAGCAAGACAAGCTAATAAACTCAGTGTAGCACTAAAAGCAACAGCGGTGCGACACAAAAACACAACACAGTAAGTTGACTATAAACACTATTTACACGTTTACATATCCGCTATATTGAATCAAACAGCATGTAAATGTCAAATAAGTGTCGTTTAAGTTGCGCTGCTAGCGCTGCTGGCTAATATTCACTTTACTTCAACTTCCTCCGTCCAACTTTCCGTCTGTTTTGATCATCCACGTAAAGGTCATTTTCACTGCAGATCTGAAATAAGACAGGCCATAATCGTGGTGAGCGCATGCGGTCCCTGTCATTTAACTCATCCAACGGTCCGAATGCAGAATAAAAGCAACCGGTGTGTGTTTGAGGGCAGGCGTAAATCCATCAACCTCACCGGGACTCAGGATCAGTAGAATCTCAGTGAAATGTGCCGATAGGTGGAGTAAACGCACACAACTGTTGCTTTCATAATCACTGGCGTCCTTCCCGATTATTGCGCTGTTAGTTTTATTGCTGCAAGATACAGTATATTGTTTTTGTAGTATCTATCTATCTATCTATCTATCTATCTATCTATCTATCTATCTATCTATCTATCTATCTATCTATCTATCTATCTATCTATCTATCTATCTATCTATCTATCTATCTATCTATCTATCTATCTATCTATCTATCTATCTTCTAATCAAATAGCATCTAAATGTCAAATAAGTGATATCTATCTATCTATCTACTGCACATCTCTCTATCCTTCCATCCATCCATCCATCCATCCATCCATCCATCTATCTATCTATCTATCTATCTATCTATCTATCTATCTATCTATCTATCTATCTATCTATCTATCTATCTATCTATCTATCTGTCTGTCTGTCTGTCTGTCAATCTATCAAAAACTAACTAATCAAAATACCACAATCACCATCTTTAAAATTAAATTGTGATATTATTACATCATTAATTAATATTATAATATGGTAATACTTGGTCATGTGGTTTAGTTGTTGATAAGAATTAAAACTTAATTTATTTCATTAATTAGTTAAGCCTATCAATCAGTTAGTACATGTAGGCTGTTTAAAAAAAAAAAAACAGATTACTGCATCTGACCAAAAAACACTTTATTAAAAACAAACTTTGTACATTCTTGTTTTTTTAATTAGATTTTTGTTTTAATAGAGATAGAAAATCTTGAAAACCAAGGGGAAAACAGCAAACTATAAACAGTCTGGAGAAGTTTCTTCCAAAAATGATAAAACACGTGATCAGGAAAATAGCGATTAAAGAGGATTTCGATAAGGATTTTTAAAATTGGAGCAGGGAAAATACAATCTCCAATAGTATCCAAAACATGGAGGGAACATCTTTATAAAGTGTTAGCATTTGGTACCATGATGAAGCAAAACAGATATCATAAACTCCATTGGTTTTATTTGCCTTCAGTTTATCAAGTCTTTAATCAAAAATAAAAGGCTGTTATCCTTCATATTCCTCATCCTTTAGATCATTATCTTATAGGTTCTATGTTATCAACAGAAATAATCATATTTCTTTCAAAACGATAAAAACATTTGACATAGGTGACCTTAAATGTCCTCAGCAAGGTTTTACAAGCATCATAAACATTCTGCAATCTTCTCACTGGTCACTTGTGTTAAAGTCTGTTTTTAGTGAAAAAATGTTTTCCAAAGAAAAGATAAGTTTCTATTAGTGACACTTCCATGCATCAGTGGTGTTGATTTGAAATGGACAGACCACAATCAAAGCAGCTTTCAGTGTAGTCCTGAGACAGCATTTGGTGTCAAGAGTGTCTGAGAAAGTGTCCATTGCTTCAACTCTCAGCTTTATATTCAACAGATATATCCAGGTGAAGGCATCTGACATGAAGAAGCTTTTCAAGACCTAGCCTACATCAATTTGCCTATGCTGTCAATGATAATACAATGAACCGAAAAAATATCAGGGAACAATAGACGAGTCTTAGAGGGAATAAAGAAGAACAGATACCCGCATGCATTGGTACATCAAGGTTTTTTGTGTGTGTGTGTGTGTGTTTTCCAGAAGGGAGCACTAACACTATAGGAACATAGCAGACTACATCTATTTGAATGGATTAGCCAGCAATCCGAATGCCTGTTTTAGGTTTTAGTTTTCATTCCAAGAGAGAGTAAAATTTTGGTGGTAGGAGCCGAATTCTTTATTGAAACTGGCTATGAGAAATACACATTTGTTCCATGGAGCTTAGTAAATTCTTCTCCGCCGCATTTGCTAGGCACAATGGTCCAAGGTTGGCATCCTGGCATTAGTAGGCAATGCCACATTCTGAGTATCCCAATTCATCAAATAAATTCTAAAGGAGGGTGCTGGAAAACTCTTGCCAATTTCTGGCTCAAATACGGAGTCCCGATTTGGTTAATTAATCCTTTTCATTTCAAGCAAATCTAATTACTGAGAGATACAGTAAATATTGACATCTGCAGTCAATCCGATAGGAAAAACAATGGACAATTGCAATTAAGGCGCTGTACACAAGAAGCTGGTGATTCTTGCGACGAGCACTGCACCTGGCAGGACGCTTTGCATGCATCTGGAGTGGGTGCTGGTGATTTGAACGGATCCAGAACCTCTGAAAACAGATCATGGGGCTCCTCCTAGTGGTCGTTGTTAGAAAAAACCTGATAGTATTAGGGAGAGTCTCATGGAAAGAGTCATATTTCACCCCAATATCAATATATTTTTCAAAATAATATTTTCTCTAAAGAAAAGGAACTCTATTTTTAAGACCCATGTTTTTTGCGTGTGACATTTTCATGAACATTATTAAGCACGTTTCCCTCCCACATTCTCATTGCTAATGCATCCGGATGTTTCGCTTTTATTCTCAATGATCACTCCCATTAAATTTTCATTACTGTAATTAAAATTCATCCTGTCCAGAAAGGATCCTTTTTTAAATCAGCATAAATCCAGCGCGATAAAATACTATGATGATCCTTAAATCCATGATTATTTTCTTCTATCACAGTAATGAGAATTGGGTTTGTGCTTTATTGTCAAAGAAAATAATGTCATAATGCTAATCTTAATTTTGGAGTAAAATTTGTTCTTGACTGGTTTGATGCGATTCGCTCTTTCATTCTTGCTTCATTTCTGAAGAAATGCAATTTTTGAATACATCAAATGTTAATTTTACTTCATTCTTCCTGCAAATTTGATGTGATTGTATATAATAATACTGGTAATTACAGCCTGAGGAAATATAAACCATCATAAATACATGTGATACAGATAAAGATGTTGTTTGAGCCGCACAGCGACCTTTGTGCCATTCTTAAAGGCATAGTTCACCCAAAAATGAAAATGTACTCATACTTAAGCTGTTCTAAACCTGTATGAGTATGTATGAAGTATGTATGTATGAAGATATTTGGAAAAATTTTGGTTAACAAACAGTTTCTGGTCCCCATTGACTTCCATAGTATTTTTTCATACTATGGAAGTCAATGGGGAATGGCAATTGTTTGGTTACCAACATTCTTCTTTTGTGTTAAACTCATAAACAGATTTGGAACAATTGTCAATAGTAAATGACAATTTTCATTTTTGGGTGAACTATCCCATTAAATGTCATCATCCTGAATGAGAACATGTATTCTCTTTTACATTAGTAATAAAGATACTAACAGAATTATAAATTTCGTGAAATACAGAGTCACTGACTCTTTAACAGTCCATCAAAGTTTAAGATTTGGTTTGTTTTTTCTCCTGCACATTTTAAAATTGCTACTCAAAATGACAAAAAGGTATTAATTTAGTCTAGACACAGTCTTCTTGATTGTAATTTGCATAGAAATATTTTCATAAAAACATTAAGATCCTGATTTTTTTTCAAAGGGCCTCAAATGTCCAGCACTACTTTTGGAAGGTCTCACCAGCGACCAGTACTGGATTCTCACGAACAACAAAAACTTGTTTTATACTTGCACATCTAAACCAAAGCTGGAAATAGTGTGATAGAATTAACTCAACATTGTTGTTTTACTAATAGAAATATGGTGATGTTTTGTCTTTTTTCTCTGACTAACCTTTTGCTGATTAAAAGGGACATTTACTAAACTACTTAAGTCTACAGGAACACAGAAATGATGTGAAACTAGAAGACAGCTTGATCTCATGCTGTAAACGGTCTTTAGTACAAGTGTTTGTCCCATGTCAGTGGTAGCTTAGCATATATTAGTATTACAAGGATGATAGGCTGATTTATTTCATTCTAACCGCTGAAAGGAAGCAAAAAGTCTCTTTAAAAGTCCACTATGGCATTCTCTCAGTCTGCCATTCCATACACAGGTAAGCTGGTGTTTGCTGTAGTCTCTTTGTGTTTGCATGAGTGTGTGTGGGTGAGACTGTGTGTTTGCGCGTCAGACCAGCGTGCCTGGCGTGGGTCTGTCATTACTCGTCTCTTTAAGTGTCATCTCCTGCATTTTAGATGAAAGGGTATCTTGGTACAATGAAAGCTCCATCGACCTGTAGGGAAGAAGAAAGAAGAGGCGACAAAATCAATGAGGTATGATAAACATCTAAGAAAAGGAAATATTTCAAATGTATATATTGGGGTCATTAAATTTTGTTTGTTTGGGTTGTTTAAAAAAAAACATTTTATTCAGCAATGATGCATTAAATTGATCAAAAGTGACAGTAAAGATTTTAATCTTTCAAAAATGCTGTTCTTTTGAACTTTCTTGCACAGGAATTAAATTACATTTTAAAATATATTCAAATAGAAAATGTGAAAGTGTAATAATATTTTACCATTTGTCAAATTTCTTACCATTTTACTGTCTTGCCTTGAGCATAAGGACTTCTTTCGAAAACGTTAAAAAAAATCTTATCAACCCTAAACCTTTGAATGGTACCATAATAAATATGAAAATTTGAATGTTCATTAAATACTATAAAGAAAAAATACAATAATTCATTGAATTGAACTAACTGTTGATTTGTACAGCTCGAAATGTGAAAATGCAGAAAATGATCATGTGACACTGAAGACTGGAGTAATGATGCTGAAAATTCAGCTTTGCATCACAGGAATAAATTACATTTTAAAATATATCAAAATAGAAAACAGTTATTTTAATTTGTAATAATATTTCACAATATTACTGTTTTTATTTAATTTTTAATCAAATAAAATGCAGCCTTGGTGAGCATAAGAGACTTTTTTCAAAAACATAAAAAAAAACTGTAAAATATTTAAAATGTTAATTTAAAAAAATATACTATTGTTTACCTACTATAATAAAAATACATTCAAAAACTTGTGAAAATGCATTAGTAAATGCAGGAAAGAACATTGACCAAGATAAATAAATGCTGTAAAATTCATGATACCTAATATATATATATTTACCTTTTCGAAAACAAGGCTTTCTTGACTGATGGTTCATGTATCGTATGAATGTAGATTGTAATTCAGTCTGCAATTACCTGCCGTGTAGAGGGTGGCCATGAAACGTGGCCGACTGAGGCATCTGTGGATAGGATGCGTCCGTTTGAAAGGACTGTGGCTGGTGTTTTAGGGGCGGATGGGGTTGCGAGGTGTGCAGAGAGGACGTGGTACGCCTGCGCTGAGTCTGCGTCCCCTCTTTGCTCTTCCCTCCATTGGCCGCCTGTCCCAGTGCGTTCCGCAGATACCAGTCTCTCAAGCCCTCCAGCGCCAAGGCCTTGTGCAGGCTGCGTGTGGGGTCGTCGGGGGTCGTGGGTGTGGTGGACGACTCGGTTGGGTAGTGTGGTGGTCTGTGAGGGTGGTCCATGTGCTGGTTATGCAGTGCATTAACGGCGGTGCCATTGGCGGTGTTGGTTTCAGTGTAGGCAGAGAGAAGGATAGACTCTTGCTGGTGCTGCTGTGAGGGAACGAACGGACCGCAGGATTTGGTGCGTGTCACTTTGACCCTCCGAGGCTCGCCGGGTTTCCCTCTCAGCATTAGCGGGCTGTAGGCCGGAGGGCCGTTGCCCAGGATAAGCTGCTGCGATTGGGGGAAGCCGTTCCTGTAGGGAGGTGGTGGCGCATTGGGACCTTCAGGCCACGGCCGGGTTTTTGCACTATTTTGGACCTGCAGTCTTTGCTGAGCTTGCATCTTCTGCTGTTTCCCCCACACATAATCTATGAGGATCTCATTGTAACCGCCACCTCCGTTCGTTCCTCGACCTCCCACAGCCGAGCGAACGCGGGCCAGTTCGGTGTGTCCGTTTACCTGTCGTTCGGGGCTGCTCCGCTGTGCCTGTTTTAAAGTTGTGTCCATGATTGCTTCTGAGCTCTTGTATGGGCCGTTTCGAACAGGCATGCCTAACCTTTGACCTCCCTCCTCCACAGCAGAGGCGTGCCGGTCGAGTAACGTCTCGGAGCTATTGCTTCGCCTGTGCCCTTGCTCGTAGGACCCCTCCTGAGACTGCAGAGGCACCTGCTGGGACGCCTCGGGATTGTCTGACCACTGCTTCACGGCAGCAGTGCCGCTAGATGATTCTGACCTGCGCAAATAAACAACACATTCAAATACATTCACTACCATTTAAAAGTTTGGGGCCAGTATGATTTTTTTTTTTTTTTTTTAAATAAGTGACTGCTTTTATTCAGCAAGGATGCATTAAATTGCTCAAAAGTGACAGTAAAGACAATTAATGTTATAATTTTAAAAAATAAATTCTATGTATTTTTTAGGTCTGTCAAAAACAGTGTTACCCTAAAGTGTTAGTTCACCCAAAAAAACTAAAAATGATCCCATAATGTACTGACCCTCAAGCCATCCTAGGTGTAAATGACTTTCTTCTTTCATTCAAACACAATCTGAGTCATATTAAAAAATACCCTGGCTCTTCCAAACTTTATAATGGGAGTGTAATTACTGCATAACCGGTCAGAAATCACTCTCCCGCCGGAACTTGACTCGCATACGGCATGTATCGGAAGCCCATGATTATAATTCATAAAATTATAACTATGGATATTTTTCTTACAAAAACGCATCGCATCGCTTCGCTTCAGAAGGCCTTTATCAACTCTCTGGAGCCGTATGGATTACTTTTATGATGGACGGATGAGCTTTTTTGGGCTATTTTTTAATAAAACTCTGATTGTGTTCGGCAGAACACATATATGAAAGTCATATACACCTAGGAAGGCTTGAGGGGGAATAAATTATGGGATAATTTTCATTTTTTAGGTAAACACCCTCATGTCGTTCCAAACCAATATGACTTTCTTTGTTCTGAGGAACATAAGAGATTATTCTGAAGAATGTTAGTAACCAATCGGTTTTAATTCCCACTGACTTCCATAATACGGACCAAAAATGCAATGGAAGTCAGTAGAACCGAAACCAACATTCTTCAAAATGATCTTTTTTTGAAGAAAGTAATGCATACAGATTTGTTGAGTTAATAATGACAGAATTCTCATTTTTGGGTGGATTATCCCTTTAAGCTACCCAAGTGTCTCTCTGATGAAATGACAGCCACACAACACATCAGTCTCCAAACATGCTGATATCAGTATCTCCCGGCACTGCGGCACAACAAGCTGCTCTGTATGTGTAATTGGATTGAGTAGGAAATAATGGGGCCTTCGCTCAACCTCCTTAGACATCCATTACTTCATTACACCTTATTGCAAATAAGTAATTTAATCAAAATGTTTGTGCCATTATCAATTCAGGGCTTTTTAACTATAATTAGCTATATAGTCTGCAGTGCGCAGTGTTTTAACCTACGTTTGTGCGTGTGTGTTTTGCGCAGTTGTTACCTGATGTGCACTCCTGTTATTCCATTGCGGGACAAGAGTGGAGTTGCTGGTACACTTCTACCTTCTAAATTCGACACACTTCTTGGAAGAGTGTGACTTGGGCTGGGGGAAAAAACAAAGTCTAGTTAACAAACTTGATCTATGTTATATGGTAACAAAGACCTATTTATAAAACTGATGATGAAGTTATGTTTTGATTCTAAATTGTAGCTTTATTATTTTGGTAGCACTTTATTTTACAATCCTGTTCCCCATGTACATACTATGTACTTATTACAGTAATTACAATAACTGGTTGAGGTACTAACCCTACACCTAAACCCATGTCGTTACATTATTTTACCCAGTATTTGCTTAGGTAAGTACACTATAAGTACATGTAAGTACACATTCTATAAAATAAAGTGCAACCATTTATTTTTATTATACAGTGATATTTGAATAGTCACATGATGGATATAGTTACAGCTCGTGTTACAATTTACAATGTCTTTTAGATTTTTGCCAAAATATCCATGAGTAGCAAAAAGCCTTTGTTCTAGAATCAGCCATAAATTACAAACCATAAATATTTGTACCCATCTAAATGAGGTGCTTCCAGATCAGCTTATCAATGCTGATTCACCTTTGGATCTACATAAAGTGGAAAAACAGCTGTTCCTACTTTCTCATGCTGAGCACGAAAGCAAAATGTGCTGAGCGAGTACCTGGCTGAGCTGGCCACAGAGTTGCGGCGAGTTTTTATCTCGTAATAGATCTCCACGGGGGAGAGTTTTCGAGAGAACCTGTTGTCTGGACTCCCCGAGACCAGCCGGGGACGTGAGGGTGACAGGCCGTCAGAGGCGTCTTCTGAAGGAGAGAGAGAGAGAGAGAGAGAGAGAGAGGTTGAGACAGAAGCTAACTTTCTAATTCACAGTTATACACTTCTAAGACATACTACCATTCAAAGGTTTGGGGTCGGTATGGTTTCTGAAAGAGTCTCTTATGCTCACCAAGACTGCATTTATTTTATCAAAAATATAGTAATATTGTGAAATATTTATTCAATTTAAAATAAAAAATTTCTATTTGACTATACTTTAAAATGCAATTTAAACCTGTGACGCAAAGCTGAATTTTCAGCATCATTACTCCAGTCTTCAGTGTCACATGATCCTTCAGAAATCATTCTAATATGCTGGTTTGCTGCACAAGAAACGTTTCTTATTATTATCATTGTTGAAAACAGTTTTAGTGGAAACCGTGGTACTTTTTTACAGGATTCTTTGACAATTAGAAAGTTCAAAAGAACAGCATTTATTTGAAATAGAAATCTGATAGATGTCTTTACTGTCAATTTTGATCAATTCAATGCATCTTTGCTGAATAAAAGTATTCATTTCTTCTTCTTTTTTATTATTACAGACCGCAATCTTGAAGAGGTTAATGTGTGTAACAAAGAAGTTCTTATCATTTCATTTTATTAAACAACAAAACAAAGCAAGTGTGATCTGAGCCCAAATGCTGCACAAGCTGTATTTGTGCAATTGGTTTGATATTTGTATCAAATATCTTATTAAATGACTTTTTAATATTTTTAAGTGTGTCTTAAGTGTCTAAATAATTTTTGGGGCCATGTACATACACAAGTGCGAATAAAGGAGGGTTGTTATGTATCAATTACAGCAAAATTCATATCTGAATGCCATACCCTCAGAAAATAAGCACAATCAATGACTCACTATATTAACTAATTTGTTTAGTCTTTATTACTATTATTGACAACTTTTTCCAGTCAATTTTTTTTTGTTATTTGTACTGATGCTTTGGCAATATTGTATATAAATAATTTAATCACATTTCTTAATCGAAATTGAAAACTGAAAACTGAGAGAGAGAGAGAGAGAGAGAGAGAGAGAGAGAGAGAGAGAGAGAGAGAGAGAGAGAGAGAGGAGAGAGAGAGAGAGAGAGAGAGAGAGAGAGAGAGAGAGAGAGAGAGAGAGAGAGAGAGAGAGAGAGAGAGAGAGAGAGAGAGAGAGAGAGAGAGAGAATGTGTGAGAATCAAAAATGCCACAGGGAGAGGATTAGTTCAGTGAGTGTTAATAACAGGCTTTTTGACTCATTGATGTGAAGACTCTAATGACCCCCGCGAGACTCTCCATCCACTAAACTCATCCTGCCATTGTAATAGTGCTTCTTATCTCTCGCATTCATTATCCTGCTAATGTAAAGCACTGATCCGTGCCATAACTCACCAGTGTCCTGATAGGTGGAATCTGACGTGGAGCTGCTCTCTGACTTCACTGCGTTATCTGAGGATATAAACATTCACACATTACATGAAGTCACATTAACACACTGTATTGGCTCTATGCGGCTGATAATGGATGAGGGTGTAATATTGTCCAATGGTCCTTTTGTGTGCTAGACATGAAGAAAAAAAGAACTAAATCTGACAAAACCTTTCTTCTAGATGTTCTCAAAGCTAAAAATGTGGATAAAAGTCATTTTTAATTTGTATTTATATTTATAAAATTGTGGAGATATGTATTAATGATTTTAACTTGCATTTTTAACCATTTATTATTTAAAGAGGTTTGACTCTAATGTGATAATTATATGTAAAAGACAAAGATTCAATTGTCGCAATAAAGAAAAACAGAATAAAAATAATTGTTTACCTTAAAAATGCAAAAAGATTTTGGGGAGGTAGGGTTAAGGGTAGTCAATAGTTAATAGTTTCATATGAAAACAATACGTCTGTTTGGCTTCATTCAGAAAGCTACATAAGTGTGTGTGTTTGTTACATTTTTTACTGAACTTGCATCATCATTTTAGTAATAATGGCCGGAAACAGGCCGGTTAATCGACACTTCCTGTTGCACAACGTCTCGTGTATCTCATTTAAGGTGGACTGTTTTCCATGTTTGCACACAAGAGACAACTTTCCCTTCTAAATTTATACCACATACACAAACATGCAAGCATAATCAACTGTTCCCACGGTCCAAAGCCAGACCACCAGTCTGACACTAAACTGGTCTGATATCCGTTATAAACCACTCTTCGTCCCGTCTCTCACAAGCCAAGTCTGATCGGGAAATTTACCACATTTACATGAGTTAAGTACCACATATCAGAATAATTGTTAATATGATTAGCTTTAACCTTTGTTATCTTGAAACTGATCTGAGTCTTTAGTTTGATCTGAAGTCTCTGTAATCTCAGCACAGTTCAACCAGTCATTAGCTCAGTCTAATCTATAATCATTACTGTATGTCAGTTTTATCACAGCTGGTTTGCTCAGTTTGATCATGGACCGAGCAGAGACAAACATTATCGATTTGTCAATTAGTTGAGTCAATTAGATTTGTATGTGTTTACCGGGTTTAATGGACAAAAACAAGTTCACAGTTGACATGCTATACTTTAGTTTAAAAAAATAAAATAAAAATTAATTATATATACAGTCACCTGAAAAAGTATTTGGATACTTGATTTGATAAATGACATTTTTAAAATGTGGTTTAAATGTCCAAATCATTTTAGGCCATGCCGTTCAAAAGTTTGGGATCAAAACTAAGACATTTAGAATATTACAAAAATATTTCAAATGAATGCTGTTCTTTGCAAATTTCTGTTCATCAAAAAATCCTGAAACAAAATGTATTATGGTTTCTAAAAAAACTGTTTTCAACATTGATAATAATCAGAAATGTCCAGAATGATTTCTAAAGGATCATGTGACTGAAGACTGGAAAATTCAGCTTTGCTTCACAGGAATAAATTACATTTAAAATACATTATAATAGACAATACTTATTTTAATTTGTAATGATATTTCACAATATTATTGTTTTTACTGTATTTTTGATTACATAAATGCATCCTTGGTGAGCAGAAGATGCTTCTTTCAAAAACATTAAAACATCTTTCTGTATATACTGTATATATATGAGTAAAAAATACAAATTTCAGGCATGAAATGGTGTTTATTTCCTCTGAATATTCTTCGACCCCACCTGTGTGGCATCCTCTGTGAACGGTTCGTTTGCTGTGTGAAGGATGCTGCTCTGAATCGACGTGCCTGCGGAGGGCACCGCTGAACAGAGTTTTCTTTGTCTTGCGCTGAGAGGCGTCCTCGTCCTAAACCAGCACAAACATTGAGCAACTTATGATGTTTATCCATCACGTATCCAATATCAATTTAGTGGCCACCCAGATCATCTCAAATCCACACACCTCATTTTTCGTGTTTTGTTTGGAACTGCTGCGGGACAGACCAGCCCTGCGCCGCACATGAGGGACTTTCTCTCCGGTTTCCAGAGGATATTCATGAGGAACTTCACCTGTCATTTCCTACAAAATGTATGACGAGCAAACATGAACAAGATGACTTAAACTGTTTCATTATTGTTTTTAATATATTAGAGCAGCCATGTTTACTTTTGTAGAATAGTATATTTATTTACATTAATTTAGTCAAGTTTGAACAAAACATTTAATTAATTATATTTTTTACTTCAATTCCTTTTTAAATTTAATTTAATTTAATGTCATCTGTAGAATTAAACAGGCTATTTTGCTGCTATATGTTCTATATGTACATTAGCTCTATTATGATTGGCTAACATTTATGAATGTGAAATAAATAATGATATTTCTGGTAAGACGCTGGTGTGCACACACTGTTGTTCATATGTTAATGTGGTCATGGATGTGACATTATAACCACAACAATTTTGGAATGACACGTATTATCAGCTTAATTTAATTTTCATAAGCAATCTCTGGAGGGAGTTTTGCGTTATGAATGTTAGAGTGTCACATTATGCACATTATTTCAAAAGAGAAAGAAAAATCTTCTTTTCCACTCCTTTACATGGATTTTTCATCCAAAAAAATTCTGTAAGCATTTACTCACACTCATGTTGTTCCAACTGAAGAATGTGGGTAACCAAAGCCATAGTATTTTTTTTCCCATACTATGGAAGCCAATGGCTGCCGTCAACTGTCTAGTTACCAACATTCTATCAAAATATCTTATTCTGTGTTCAGCAGTAGAAAGAAATACATACAGGTTTGGAATAACTTGAGTGTGAGTAAATTATGACAAAATCTTGGGGTGAACTATTCCTTTAAGACATGAAGCACATCATGAAAAACACACCTGAAGTTACATGTGTAAAACAAGCATTTTAAATGCCAAGCTTGTTGAGATATAAGTATGAGCAAAGATCAGATGGGCTTGTGCCGGCATCTCTGTGGCGTCACATGATCTGGCAGCTGTGTGGTTCAGTGGTTCAGTTTATCGTGTTGAACTTTCTAAGAGCTTCGTTCTAAGAAACTAGAACAAGTTCTAAATATCTACTTAATTACATTCAAACTTAAACGTCAATTCTGCATCCTGTTGGTTCCCTCAATTCAAATTAAATTCAGGAATGTAATTGGACTTTAATGTGCGGATGATGAGACACTGACCGCCTCCTGCAGACACACACGTTTGAGTTCTGCCAATCGAGTGTTGAGCAGCGACTGCAGACTTCTCCTACGCTCCTGCAGCTCCACCATCCGCTCCGCGTGCTGCTTACTGTCCTGCAGCTCTGCAAACACACACACACACACACACACACACACACACACCATGTTACCACAGACGGACTCATTTTAATTGTTTTACACTAGCGTTCAAAAGTTTGGGGTGGGAATGATTTTTATGTTTTTGAAAGAAGTCTCTTTTGCTCACCAAAGCTGCATTTATTTGATCAAACATGCTGTAAAACAGTAATATTGTGATATATTATTAAAATTTAAAAGAACTGTCTATAATATATTTTGAAATGTAATTTTTTATTTTTTTTCAGTGTTCTTTGATGAACAGAAAGTTCAAAAGAACAGCATTTTTTAAATTCATTATAAATGTATTTACAGTCACTTTTGATCAATTTAATGCATCCTTGTTGAATAAAAGTATTATTTTTTTTTAAAATTAGTGTAAAGGTTCTAATTTTAAAAACTATATTCTAAATTATATATATATATATATATATATATATATATATATATATAAAATATATGTATTTTTTTAAGTTCCTAAATTTTTCCCTAGTCAGGAAATTTTTAAATTGTAATTTCATAGGCAAGAATAGTAATAATTTTTTATTTATTTTTAAAACCCTACATAGTTTAAGTAGTTCTTAAATCTTAAATAGTTTAAATCCTTATCAGTAATCAAGAATGACTGGAAAAGATATGGAAAAGCACTGGTCAAAAAGTGTGATTATGGGTTACTGGTAACCTGTGCACCCTTAACCTTCCCAAATTGGACAGCTTTTGTCCTTTTTACTTGTTAAATAAGATTTAAAGGTGAAGCATGTAATTTCTTGCATCACGAAACATTTAATAAGATTTAGACCCATTATGAAGATGTTCTCCTTAAAAGGTCTTTGTGAGGATATTTGGTCGCCACAATAACAGACAAAAACAAAACACACACACCCGTCAGACAAACAACTTGCAAAGTAAAATTCTTACAAAGACAGCAAACAAACACACACAGGCGCTCACCAGGGCCTGTTATCAGGTGACTTTTGACCTCCATGTCATACGTCTTTTGCATCACCTCACTGCCTCCTGATTGTTAGTTTACCTACAGAGAGACAAGAAAACAAACCAAACATTACAATGACGAATGTCTCCGGCAGAAGACTTAGCTGGATTGTACTCAAATCAGACAAGCGTGTAAATAGCTCACACGTTTCTTACCTTCTCACGGAGATTGGGACTTGTGGCCATGAAGCAGAAGCTGCTGGGTGTTGCTGCAGTGCTGAGACTGGCCTGAGGGGGGAGCCACTGCGCTGCTGCACAACGCTTCACGAACTTTATGCCCTGAAACACAAAACAAACCATATGAGACATTGTTGCCCCACACATAAGAGCTCCGAGTCTGACTGAGAGACGGCTTTGAAGACAGAGTATCAGATAAATCGCTTATATAACTGATAGAACAGGCAAGGTTTAGCAGATGTGACTGATGTGCATGAAATGGATAGCAACTCAGATTATTTGGTCCTGGAGGAATTTGATGAGAAATGAGTTCATAGGGAGATTTTGAGTTTTGATTGCAAGCTTTTGTATCATAGCCAAACGGATCAGTTTGAGACATTGAGACCTCTATGAGACTTTCTCTAGAAGTCTTTTTCACATGAGAACAATCGGAGAAAGAGACGTCTCAATCTATGAGAAACAATTGAGATATTAAAGAGATTTCAGTGTGTTTTTTCAAGGTGTATTAGTTGTCTATAATAAGCCTGCCATTGTATATTATGAATATTGTTGGCTCTTTGGCGAATTGCTTTTTTTCTTTTGTAAGTCGCTTTGGATAAAAGCGTCTGCTAATACATAAATATAAATCAATGGAGGGAAACCTAAGATTTTATAGCTTTCTCTAGTGCACAAATTAAAAGATATGAGATGTTTTTTTCAGTACATTGCTGTTATTGTTAACTAAAACTACTATTAAAAATCATTTTCATTCATTGAAATAAATAGCAGTGTTATTTTAGTATTATTTATATCGTATTATAGTATTTTTTATTTTGAATACATTTATTTTTATTTTATTTTGTTTATAAATTAAATTATACATTTTAGACAAATGTATAAACTTAAAAACTAGAAATGCTGTCTTGGCAACTTAAGTTTAACTAAAAGTAAAATTAAATTAAATCTAAATAAAAAGAAAAATAATAAAAAGAAAATAATAAAATGACAAAAGCACATAGCAAAATTACAACAAAAAAAAGCTAATTCAAGATAATAATAAATACTATACTATCAAATGATACTTAAACAACACTCCTTCAATAGTAGAAATATATTAGGTCAATTTGAGATTTTATTTCTAGTTTATTTGCACTTTCAAGATGGTTTAGTTGGCCCAAGTCACATTCACATCTGATTTTTCCCCCCCTTCAAATTCACATGGAATTGCCTGTGGGAACTCCGGACAGGAAGTGGACTGTGGTGTGCAGGAAGTGGCTCGTGAAGCAGGAAACCAGTGCGGGAAACAGAAATGGGAGGCTCAGACTAACCTATAAAAACAATACGGGCAGAAATCCTCACGCACAAAAACTCTCTCAACAGGGCAAGAGTCATTTCCTAGGATCAGCCGTAAACAAGGAGCACAATGAGGAGAAAGGTCGAAAAACCTCAAAAACCGCATCTCACGCCGTTTCCTGTCTGCAACCTAAATAAACGTCAAAAAACCCAAATGTTTTCAGCTTTAACGCCCAGTGGTGATCTATTCTTCACAATGCAGTTTTTCAAGCACAGCCATCAGGAAGTAGTTATTATCTCGGCTGCAGGAGATGGGCGGCTCTGTCATTGAGAGCGCATGAATGATGGGTGTCTCTGAAAAATGTAAAAGGTTATAATTATAAAGAAGGATCAATAGAGTCATATGCAGAAATAACTTGGAGAAAATGGTAGCAGATGAGTGAAGCACACGTCGTAATTAAAAAAAAAACAATAGAACAGTGCAGGTATTGTGTGTTGTCATGACCTAATCGTGCCCGTCACACACACTCGAGGGTCAAGGGAGGACAAATAAAAGCGAGTGGGCCGATAAACGTAACACAAATATGTGCATGTTGCTAGAGCAAACACAACGTCTTTGCCTGTCTCGGTTTGCCTAGTGTTGGGTTTCAGCTAATGGAGTCACGCTGTTGTCAGTTTGAGCTTGATAAGATCCCTGATCCTGCTGGTGCCCTGCATTGAGGAGATGTTGAAGAACTACTCGAGTCTTCCAGCAACGTTTGCCAATTTTGAAGTAGCGTTCACCTAATTCGCCAAATGTTTTGATGAAACCTTTTCACAATATTTATCCATTCCAAGTTATTTCTCATAACAGCAGCATATGTTGATCTCATTTCCCTATTGAAAGAGGCCATGTTTTTAAAGTCTAAATTTTGATTTTGGGGTCTGCTAAAAAAAATAGGTTGGAATGTTTAAAAACATTCTTTTCCCATATTCTCCATTGTTGCAGCACCTCACTTCCCAGTCTGTCAGTAACATTATTGCTGCGTCCCAATTCGCATACTATCCGTCCTAAATAGTATTCGAAAATAGAATTAGTACGTCCCAAATCGTAGTATGTTGAAATGAGTCTCCCAAAGAGACCCGGATGGTCTACTAAATCCGGTCAGAATCCGAAGTGCAGATCGATGCGCACTCTAACGGCTGATATTGCCCACAACCCATCGCGCGTTGGACGAGGATTCGGTTAGAACTACAAACATGAATGAAAAGTGTTCAAAAACTACAGACATGGAGGACACGCGAGTCCGACGGTTATGTAGAGAGGTTTAGATAAAGGGGTTTGAGTGATTAATTATCAGTATCTAACCTGACGAAAATGTATTTATTCAATGTTGTCCACATTATATTGCATCTGCAGCAGCATTGTGAACATTTTGCAAAGATACGTTTAGCCATTACCTTTTAAATGCATCATTATATTCAAATTCCAAACACATGAGGAGAGTCTCCGCATGAAAGACCCATGACTGGCAGATGAACGTGCGACAACATTTCTCTCCGAAATGGTAAGAACTTATATTAGATTGAATGGAGGATTTTAACTGTGACGAGATGATTGACAGGGCAGTTTACGGTGATAGGATGCACGCGACAGATCTGTCCGTTAAAGATGACGAAGTAGTATGTCCCAAAGCTTGCCTACTCTTTTGCTACACACTCAAAAGTATGTACTTTTTCTTCACAAAAAGAGTACATACTTTTAGGGCATAGTATAAGTAGGCGAATTGGGACGCAGCATCTGTTTAGTTCCTGTCTCTATGAAATCCCTCCTTCCGAAAAACACAATCTGCTCTGATTGGTCGGCTGGACCAGTGTGTTGTGATTGGTCCACCGCTTTGAGCACATTTCAGAAATGTCACGCCACTTACCATAAGTTTCAACACACTTTCTAATGCCGAGTTCAGACTGCACGATTTTAGCCCCAATTTTGGCTCGCCGACAGGTTTTGAGAAATCGCCGACAAATGCCCGAAATCACAGGCAAATCGGTGCTCGTTCACGCGAGTGACAATCACGCAGTGTGAATGAGCAAAGACGCGATCTGAGAGAATCGCCGACGAGTCGCCGACGCCCGTGAGATATTTGGCATGCTAAATATCTGGACCTGTCGGCGATTAACAATCCTGCTGTGTGAATGTGTTCTGACTGAAAACTACATCGGATGATGACTGACAGCCAATGATAGACCAAGATAACAGGGAGGAGGAGGAGGAGGAGGAGGAGGAGGAGGAGTTATAGACCAGAATATCAGTATTTTAATAGATAGGCCTATATTTACAATTATATCAAACAGAAACAAAGCACAAACATTTGCATGACCAGCAGCAACAGCAGGACATTTGCAAAATTATTTATTTACCCCCAACTCTCTTTGCAAAACACAGTCTTCCCAACCATTTCCTGCATAAACTGTTTTTTTTTATTTTTATTTTCGCTACAAATTAGTGTACAGACAATTTGTAGGCTATCATTTTTAATAACAAATTCAGTGTCGCGCGAGAACTCCGGTCTCACGCACGCGTGATCTTCCGTTATTTTCCTATCACTTCTCGCGTTTGTTTGGTTGTGAAACGTAGTTTGCGGACCAGGCAGAAGTTGTCGGCGATTCTTTCTTTTGTAAAGTCATGCAGTGTGAAACCTCCTGTCGCCGATCCATCGTGCAGTGTCAACACAGCAGCAACTGAATGTTACCCCAGATAGTCATGCAGTGTGAAAACAACAGTGACCCGATTATTTTGAAAATCGTGCAGTCTGAACTCGGCATAACGCAACTCAACTAGGCCTCGATCCTTTTATTTTGTGTATGCCTTGAGCGGGAATTATTTACCTGAGGAATATTGTGACGTGTTCATTCCCAGAAGAAAACTCAATCGACTACAATCGAGGCGTTTCAGGGAGATCAGAAACAGTGTGCACTGATATAGAGAATAACTCGCTTTGTAACTTTGCAAACCTTTTTCTTGCTTAAACAGCAATATTCTTTAGTGGTGTTTGCTAAAGAAAAAATCTCTATTACTATTGGAAATGGATAGCAACTCAGATTATTTGGTCCTGGAAGAATTTGATGAGAAATGAGTTCATAGTGAGATTTTGAGTTTTGATTGCAAGCTTTTGTATCTTAGCCAAACGGATCAGTTGGAGACATTGAGACCTCTATGAGACTTTCTCTAGAAGTCTTTTTCACATGAGAACAATCGGAGAAAGAGACGTCTCAATCTATGAGAAACAAATGAGATATTAAAGAGATCTCCAAAAGTCCATTCATCACATAGCAACTCCCTGACAACCACACACAACTTCTGCACAACCAAACACTACTCACATCGTCTTTGTAAAATATAAAAATCTAGGATAAATTCAGATTTTGGGACTATAAATATGCACTAGACAAGCTGTGCATGTGTTTGCGTGTAAGTGTGAGAGAGAGAGAGATTCACCAAATGTCATGACAAATGTTCTGCGGTCCTCACAAGGTTTGCCAGCATTCCACTCTCTCATGTCGGAGCCTGTATTATCACTTCTGTTCAGATGTTCATGAAAGCACAATCTGTCCATTTTTTAGCCTTCCCGCATTCATTCCTCTAGCCATCTCTCTTATTTTCTCTGTAAACGTGTTGCCTAATCCTTAACATGTAAAGGGACCATATTGTACACTTTTTAGGCATTTTGTAGCATATGTTTTCCTCTGAAGTTTTCCCCCAAATTTATATCTTTAATTCTATTTTATATGTATATACACACACGCATATATAAACTACCAGTCAAAAAGTGTAGAAGACATTGTTTTGA